ACGTGTCCACGCGGGTGTCGCTGCTGCCGGCGCCTCCGTCCTCCCGGCGCCGCCCCTGGTTGCCCGCCGGCTGTTTCGCCCCAGGCGCCGTCTCCCCATTCCTCTTGGGGGAAAGGGGTTTCCCGGCCCGTCTTCGTAATTCGGACGTTGAGGGTGGGCAGCGCGCGTCCCCACGAGAACGAGAGAAGAACCGGGCGTCGGAAGCGTCCAAGCGGAGCGCCCTGAGAGCAAGCCTGTGCTGGGTGGCCGTATTTCTGCAAGAAGGACCCTCTGTCCGTGGCTGGCAGCGACCGTAGAGCAGAAAGAGAGCGGCTCTTCCTCGCTGAGGGCAGGCGCTTCCCTGAATTTTACAGCGCAGAGCGGCGGTAGGAGAGGAGGAGGAGGAGGAGATGTTTAGAGCATGAGAATACCAACTTTTGAGCGCTGTTTGCAGGGACCCATCCTAGCGACCCACTGAATCTGTGCACTGTTCTTGCAGACGAGCACGAGGTCTTGTTGGCTCACCACCCTGATCAGCCGGAGAACCCCAAAATCTTGAGAGTTGCCATTATTGGGGCTCCCAATGCCGGGAAGTCCACCCTGTCGAATCAGTTGCTCCAACGGAAGGTAACGGCTTAGGGCTCGAATTGTCGTTGGCGCTTGATTTATATATTGCCACGTTATTTAATCAGTCAATCTGTTTATTAGCCACTTCAGTCACCAAAACAACTCTGAGCAGTGCCATATGGGTTATATGGTGGTTTATATTTAAACCTCCAGAGGGCTTTGGGAGCCTGATGGGGCATAAATACCATGACTAATTAAACCGTAGAAGCGGATGAATAAGTATAAATGCCAGTCTTCGGGCCTTAGAATATAAAACATCTGAGTTGTTTTCTTGGCAGATCCTGCCAGTCTCCAGGAAGGTGCACACAACACGATGCAATGCTCAGGGTGTCATCACAACAGAGGATACCCAGCTGGTGGGTAGTCATAAAAATGACTCTTAACTATTTTTCTTTCAACATTGGGAGGTATGCTTTAGAAAGCTTGCAAGCACTCCATTGTGGGAAGAGTGGCTCCTGTGTGGTTTATTCCTATTATCTGTTGGCGGGAACAGAGGCGGTTCGATAACAAACGGTCCCTGAACCTGGCAGGTGGGGCTTGCTTTTATGGCTTAAAAATCACCATAATTTGTTTATTTAATCCTATCAGAGCACTCATTTTTGTCAGCCTTTCTCAACTGAATGGCTTGTAGATGTGTCAGACTAAACCTCCATCCTCCTCAAGTCACACCATGATTGTGATTTTTAATAAGATTGGTATCCTGCCCAGAAAGCACCATGTTGGGAAAGGTGAAGAATGTATTTACTTAATGAATGCTTCCCCCCCCTCCACTTTTTCACAGAGTGAATTCACTCATATCAAAGCATACCACGGAATTTTTAAAATACACAGAATTATATTAAAGACACCACTGGTGTCTTACAGTAAAGTCCTGAAAGGGCTTTCCACAGAATAGAGCAACATCCCCCAAAGCTTTGCTTCTTGTAGCTTCCAACCGTGTTGTTCAGCAAGGGAGGAAGCTTCAGATGCCAAGAAAAGAGTTTTGGACTATTTAAAGGATCACATTGTGGACCCTTCCCATTTTTTTCTCCCTGATCCTTTCAGAAGAGATAGCGCTCCTCACCAAAATGGGATCGTCAGTGTGCAGGGAACAGCTTTACTGCACAGCTTGTCCCTCTCTCCTTAAGGCCAGTCAGCATGACAGTTCAAGGCACTGCGCGGAGATAACAAATGTCTGTCGTCTTTTTTGGATATGGCAAAAGTGAAGAAAATATTGTCCTGATTTGAACATATTTAAATTCCTCTTTTTCTCCCTAGATTATTTTAGACACACCTGGCCTCACCACCTCTGCCAAAGGCAAAAGGTAGGAATGGTTCAAGACAAAGTGTGGGTCTCTGGGGGTGGGGGGGAGTGTCCAATTTATGACAGATGCTTTGTGCCTTCCATTTCAGGCATAACCTGGAAAAAAACATGTTGTCTGACCCACTGGACAGCTTGAAGAATGCAGATTTAGGTGAGGGTTTGGTCTCTCCTTTTTTGTTTCCCCCCACCCCGGGCATTGATTGGATGAAGTTCTCTGCTGCTGTGGTGGGAAGGTGGAAGGGCTGCCAAGGTTGCTCTCTTCTTGTGCCATAAATTCCACTGAATTTCAGTTTGCATTAAAATGGGGAGTGAGGAAAGATGGTTGTCCCAAAGTTCATTTCCTCCATTTTTCCTGCTCTTAAAGTGCTGGTCCTTGTGGATGTCTCAGATCGCTACACACGGGACCATCTTCACCCGCAGGTGCTTCACTGCCTTAAGCAATTTCCACAGATTCCCAGCGTCCTTGTCTTGAACAAGGTGAGTTTGCTTCTAACTTATGCCCGGGGTGTCATCTCTGGGGGGGGTGGAACTTCTTTCATGCACCAAGACCAAAAGAGGCCTCTGAATACATGTTGGATGAAGGACTTCTGCCTATGAGTTCTTCCGTGGCAAGCCAAAATTCTCATTTGGGGACGGCTGCTTTCTTGAGGACTGCAGTACATCATGACCAAAAATGATCATTCTTTCCTAGAGAAAAAAGATGATTTTGCAGTTTTCTCTTTCCTGTGATAATGCCCAAGAAACAAACTAATTTCACTAAATGTGCAGGAATGCTTTGAATGCGCAACTCAGTTGAGTAAAACACAGAGAATGCTTTAACTGGCCAGTCTGTCCTTTATTGTGATGATTTGTTACATTTACACCTTACCTTTCATCTGAGAGCTCAAAGCAGCTTATGGGGGAGCCTCCCTAATTTTATCCCCCCTGCAAAAGTCCTGGGAGGCAGGTTGGACTGAGAGGGAGGGCAAGTAGCTCGGAGCTCTGCGATAGATGATGGAGCTGGATCTCATATCCTGGTCTCACCCCAATTTTACTTGGCGCAGCTTATTGCCCAAATCTTAACCGTCCCTGGGGGTGTGAGTCCCCTGATGATGCTCCCTGGAATTACTCACCAACTCTTCATCTTGGAATCTATTTATTTTGAGGACTGTTTTTATGTTGCATTTTAATGAATTTTTATTTTGCTGTAAACAGCCCAGAGTTGTTTCACGAGATGGGCAGTGACAAATTTGATAAATAAATAAAAAATAAATAACCCATTTTGGGTGGAAAATAAAACCACTACAGCCTAGAAACTCTGGGGAGACAATCCAGTTAACTTTGGGACCTAGCAGAGAGCAGAGGCCCAGGGGCGTCTTGAACCAGTTTGACACACAGCCTTGGTCTGCAGTCGGGTTTTATAAAA